GTGGGCATGGATGGCCATGGTGTCAGAGCATCCAGTGAGGGCCTGGGGGCTGGCCCACTTACCCATTGCCCACGTTGCTCTTAAGAGTGCATGTCAGCTTATTCTGGTCCTTTTGTCACACTGGCATTTATTGAGGCGCCTTTACTCTGCCCACTCTATGAGGTCATGGTTGGTGAGTTCTTGACCTGTCAGGCCTTTTTTTGCACTCTGTGACAAGATTCTGGTTCTCAGGAAGCTACCTCAGTCCTCCCACTCCACAGAGACATTTCTTTTTTCTTTCCTTTTTTTAAATTTTTGGTTTGAAACTGGCCTTGCACTCACAGAGATCTGCCTGCCTCTGCCTCCTGAGTGCTGGGATTTAAGGTGTGTGCACACCGCCTGACCACAGAGACATTTCTCACGCAGTTTGCAGAGTACAGAGGACTTCTGTGAACCTGATGAACTAGAAAACAAAGTTCTGGCTTGACTGGCTTTGCTCTCAGACCCATGCATGAGATTATGTCAAGCTGAACCACTTGAGGAAGTATAACTTTAGAAACAGTTGATATGGGAGACAGGTTTTTTTACATACTGAAAATAGTGTTGGTCACCAAAGACTAGTAATTGGCATTGCAATGATTTGAATAAGTGAATTCTTTGAAGTCACTTCCCTTAGCTCTGTATCTCCCCACATTTATTTCTTAGAAATATCCCCAGAATTAGTTATTCTAGTCCAAATAGTGATTGTCCATTATTTCTTGACAATTTTGTCTAAAAGCATCAAGCATTGACTATTTCTTTAGACATCACTGTCTTGTAGATCCTAAGGTACAAATAAATGTAATAAAATGTGTGTCACATGAAAAATACATGATATTGGTGTTCAAACTTCAAGCTGAATATTAGAAAAGTAAAGCAGCGGGACACTAGCTTCTTACCTCTACCTCAGACTGAATGGGCTGATCTATGCACCAGCTTCACACCGTTGCCTCTCCTCAGTGTGACTGGAGAATGAATGCCCCATACTCACTAGTGAAGTCCCTGCTTCTCTCTTTTATACCCCACTAGTGCTGGGATTAAAGATGTGTCATCTTTTACTCTTTTAGACTGGTTCAATCTCATGTGTCCCTGGGTGGCCTTGAACTCAGAGAGATCCGGCTATCCAGCTACCTCTTAATCATGAGTCCTAGGATAAAAGGCATGTACCACCACCACCACCACCACCACTACCTCCTAACTTCTGGCTGCTGGGATTAAAGGTGTATGCCTGACTACTATGGCTTGTGACTGACAGTGCTTTCTGAATCCTCAGGCACGTTTAATAAATAATGTTTTCTCTTGTTAATCAAATTAAATATTAAGTAGGTCCCAAATCCAGCCTGTAGCATGAATAATAAAAAATCCAGAGACAGATATTGGGGTTAATGCTGAAGATCAGAGAAGCAAAGCAGCCAGCCACTAGAGAGTTCTCACCTCTACCAATGCTCAGACCAAAGGTGCAATCATGCCCTCTGATTTCATCTCTAAACTGCACTGCTCCTCAGACTGCCTAGACTGCGATTCGTTCCTGTCTCCTCCTGCCTTATATTTCTCTCTCTGCCTAGCCATATCACTCCTGTCTCCACATCCCTACTGCTGGGATTAAAGGAATGAGCTCTGTTTCTCTTTTAGACTAATTCACTCTCATGTAGCCCAGGGTGACTTGGAACTCCCTGAGATCTATCTGCCTCTGTCTCCTGAGTGCTAGGATTAAAAGTGTGTGCCACCACTGCCCGGCCTCTATGGCTGTGGTTAGCTTTGTATTCTGATCTCCAGGCAAGCTTTATTAGATCACAAACAAACTATCACCACACCAGCCACAGATCCCACCTAAGAGCCAATGGAGGTTAGAGGGGAACTCTCTCTTCTCTATGTATACCCCCAAACTGTCTTTGGACTTCATGGTTTCTTCTTCCCCTGTGCTGTTCTGGATGAACAGTGTGAGCTACCTTTCAGACACAGAGGAGGAATTGTCCCCTCTGACTCTTCCTTTTCACAGTTTCAGAAACATCTGAGTGGAGTGGGGGGTGGGAACAGATTTTTTTTTACCTTTTTCTGACTAAGCACCTTTTATTTAAGTTTATGATTTATTCCTGAAATCCTGAGAGTTTAATGTCATAAACCCAACATCTGGCTTCAGTGCTCTGCTGTGTGGATGTAATGTGCTCACACAATGATGTGGGAGGGCAAGGGTCAGAAAGTAGTATCGGACAGACAGGCGCTGACACCTAGAACAGCCTGCTACTGTGGTCGGGGGTGGGCCAGGTATTTCCAGGTTCTTAGCTTCCTACTCAAGGCGTTGAAATAGAAACCAACACAGATTGCAAAGTAGCAGAGAAGCTGCATTCAAAAGCGAGGGGGTGGGACAGCTCAGAGAGAAATACCCTGTCAAGAGCGATTGTTTGGGGCTTTTATGGGGTTCAAAGGAAGGGGAAGTGTGGTTGCTAGGCATAATTTCAAGTTGTATAACCTTTTCCACACTGAGCATGTCCCCCTACCTGGAATGTATCTGATTTTAATTACATGCATGCTCAATTATGAATATGTATAAGGTGGTAAGTAGAAGATTCTCTCTAAAAGTTCACTTAGAGGGCAGTTTTCCTTATTGTGCATGAACTCAAAACCAGTTCAGACCTGATCAGCTATCTTTATATCAAGACATAGCAGGAACACAATTGAGCAGAATGTGCACAAGTTGAATAGTTGTTAAGGGGAAGAAAAACTTATTTCCTTGTTCAGATCAGAGAGTAAATCTTTTAAAAGACTACTTGTGTGGGTGTGTTTCACCAACATGGATGTAATGCTCATGGAGGCCAAAAGATGGTGTCAGATACCCTGGAACTGGAGTTACATATGTTTGTAGTCACCACATGGCTGCTGGGAATCGAACCTGGGTCCTCAGGAAGAGTGGTCAGTGCTCTTAACTGCTGAGTGGTCTCTCCACCCCACGGTTAGGAGTCTAAGTTGTTAGGTTAATGGAGATGTGTATTTGCATAGGGCACATAAGTAAGAAACTTAAGTGTGTGCACATTCCAAGCCAAGTGGAATTCAAGGATGCTAAGCTATTCCCTATGCCTATTTACCTCATAAAGAGTTCTTTTCTGAGACCTCTAATCATGTGAAATAAGAATCTCTATTTATGCCACAGAAACAGAATTTCAGGACAAGTGAGTATGAAGCAAACATATATTAATAAAGGTGGACCAGGAGAGATGGTTCAGGATGTGAGTGTTTTCTGTTCTTGCAGAGGACCAGTTCAGTTCCTAGAACCCATGCTGGGCATCTCACAATTGAAAACTACCTGTAATTCAATTCCAGGGAATCTGATACTTTCTGCCACCTACAATTGTTTGTAATTCCAGTTCCAGGGGGGATCCAATGCCATCTTTTGTCCTGAGGTAGTTTTTAAACTCATGGCAAGTCCTCCTGCTTCAACTTCCTAGGTGATGGGATTACATGCATGCATTGACTTAGTTATAGACGTGATTTAGGTGGATTTTGAAGTTACTTAAAAAATTACTTTTATTATATGTGCATTGGTTCTTTGTCAGCATGTATGTCTGTGAAGGTGCCAGATTCCCTGGAATTGGAGCAGTTGCGAGCTGCCATGTGAACCTGGGGTCTCTGGAAGGGTGGCTAGTGCTCTTAATCACTGAGCCATCCCTCCAGCTCTGAAGTTACATTGTTTTCAAAGGACTTAAAATATTAAGGGCTGGAGAGACGGTTCAGAGGTTACAGGTGCTTTTGCACAAGAGCAGAGTTTGATTCTCAGTGCCCAAAATGGGTGACAACCACCACCTGTAACCCCAGCTCCCAGGGAGCTAGCTCTCCATCTCTGACCTCATCAGGCACCTTCAGTACCAGTGCTGATTTTTGTGTAAGCTGTGTATGTGTGGGTACACATGTATATGCATGTGTGAGAGCCAGGGTCTGATTTTGGATGTCATCCGCTACTGTTATTCACCCTCTTTTTGGAGACAGGGTCTTTTGGTGAACACGGTGCTCTCATTCAGCCAGCCTGGTTGACCCTGACACCAGGGACTCTCATGTTTGTTCCCCTCGTTGTCCTCTAGTGCCAGTGTTTCAGATGAGAGCCGCCACACCCAGCTTGTGGGTGCCTACACAACAAGCTCTCTCCCAACTTGAGTCATCTCCCCAGCCCTGTCTGTGTTCATTTTTATTATGACCAGATGCTTCACAAAATGTAAAGAATCCATTTACATTTTTATCTGCATTTTATTTTTTATAAGTCAAGCAGCTCCGGTTTCAGAGATGGATGCTTGCACAAGGCTCTGACTCAGTCTCCTCTATTCTCTGCCTTTTACTCCCTTAACATGCACCATCCCGTCTGCTCTATCCCCGCAGCTCCCCTTAGTACAGCATTCTTCTTCCATGAGGGTGGAGTGGGTGAGAGTCACAGGACTGGGGTAACTTCTATGGAGAAGACTCTAATGCTCCCTCAGGTTTTCATTTACCACCCCTACCTGCCTTCTCTGGTTTGCAACAGGGCTTCTCTTCCGGAGGCGTTCTTCTCCTCCCTTAGCCCTGAGAGGGCATTTGGTATTCAAATCACAACTACTTTGCACCCCCAGAACTTCATCCTAGGAATAAAGTTGCGTGGCTTAGGAGATCTGTAAGATTTCTTGGACCTTCTGTAATTAAATACTGCGCCTCTGGCTTGCTTCCTCTGGATTTTAACAGCTTGAGTCACATATTAAAGGTGGAACAGGAAGATTATTTGCGGCCATATGGGTCAGCACGTTGATCTTTCTCAGTACAGCTCCTTCATTTCAGTACAGCATTCATTTGGCAGGCGCAAAGCCCTATCACTCATGTTTCATATGTACCTGGCTGTCTTTCAGGTCAGGCCCAAACTCTATGGCGTCTTACTGTGGCGCCATCTCCCTTTTAGGAGCATCCATTTCAGGATCTGCGGCGGTCCCTTTAAGGCCCTGGAAAGGGCCGGCTGTCGGTTGGGCGGAGAGGCCACGCCCCGTCACGTGTCCTCTGTGCCATTGGGCGGAGCCAGAGCCTCTAGGTTGCCGTCACTTCCGGCTCTCTGTCAGTCCGGAGCGAGCGAGCTGGTGGTTGCTGGACGGCCGGAGCGGAGCGTGAGTGCGCGGGACCCCGGGCCCATTCCTCGAGGCCGCGGCCAGGCGGACTCCAGCTCCCCCGCCGCGCTGCCGCGGCCCCCTCGCTCCCCTTGCCCGCCACGGCTGCGACACATGGCAGCCCCGACGGGGCCCGGCTCTTGCCCGTTCCCCTCGCTGGGGGCCTCATGTGGCGGCCGCGCCGGGAGCCGACCCGCGGCGATGGGCGGGCGGGCGGGCGGGGAGCCGCGAGTGGTGGCCGCGCGCGCCCCTAGGACAATGTGGCGGGGCTCCGGGCGGAGGCGCGCGCGGTCTGCCATGAGGCCGCTCTCGCCGACCCCCACCCGGACCCCCACGGCTCCGGAAGGCCTCGGGGACGGTGGCCCCGCGGGGTTGAGGGGCGGGGGGCCCCTCCTCGGCGAACATGGCCGGGCTCCGGGGCGAGGATAAAATGGCGCTGGCGTAAGGCCCTCCTCACCCGCACGCTCTCGGCGCCCCACGCCCCCTTCCTCAGACCGGTTGGAGCTCCAGCCCCTCGCCGGCGGGGCCTGGAGGAGCTTCCGGGCCGCGACCCCCACGCGCCCGGCGCCTTCCCACCCTCAAGTGCCCTGCACTCCGCGATGTTGTCTCCTCCCCCACGCAAGTCTCCCAATGATCGTATAAACTCCACAGACACCTCTTTAGTTACCATTTGCTCGAATTAGGAAGTCGTCCCCCTCCCCAAGAAACCAACCCAGTAAAGAAAGCCTCATTAAAGGTAAAAGTCAAATGTAAGGAAAGGATTGGCTTTAAAAGTTGCCATTGCTTTATTTTCCTAGTGGGTAGATTTAGGTTAGATAATGACGTGGTTCTTTGAAATAATTTTAGGTCCCTAGCTTTTCATAATGGAAGATAGACAAGGCTGGCCGTTTACACATGAAAAATTGTTTATGTTCCCGTTCATTCTCTTTTCCAAACAGGTTTTTGGGTAGTTGCATGAACAGCTAGCATGGGAAAGTAAACCAACCTGATTTTGGCGACTAGATTGTGAAATGGAGCAGTAAGAGGAATTTCGAACAGACTGGTTATGATCCCTACTGTCCCCTGCTGTGTTTACTCTTAATGGATTGACCAGTTGCTGGCTTGATTTTAATAAATGATCAGGATTTGGATAGCCCACTCTGGCCTTGATCTTCTGTTTTGAAACACTGAGTGCCAGTTTGGTCTACTGGGTTATATATTTTTTGATGTGGGAGGGGGAATCTGAACTTTTTCTTTACAATTTGGAGTGTGGTGTTTATTAGGCCCTTTAAGTCATACAGAAATTAATAGTTTTGAGATGGAAAGAGAAAGACATTTTGGGAATTAGCTTTTTGCCACCTGGTGTAAGAATCTTGAAAAGGAGTTAGGACATGCCTCAGGATTCCTTGAAATTTGGGTTAGACTTAAGATAGTCTGCCCTTTGTTTTATGCTTGGGCACTGAGTAAACGAGCACTGGGCTGTGTGCCCCTCTGGTGAGTTTTGCTCTGCAAACAAAGCCCTCAAGTTTTACTTATTTACTAAAATAGAAAAACCAGTACAAAATGCTGTGAACTCTGTATAACATTGTGAGCTCTGATTGGAACCGGCTATTTTGATAGTGTGGACACAAAGTGAAAGTTAGTCTCTACAAATCAGGTAAAATGCTTAATAATGGCAAAATTAATTAGGTCTCACACTTCCATAGACAAGCTGTTGGTTCTGTGTTGGAGCTGGCATCTGAGTAATTCTGCCTTAGGTCTGATCCTAGTGCAAGTGGAACTACTTAGTACTTGTCTTTTGACTTTAGAGTAATTGTTCTCAGCTGCTTTCTTGCAATCTACCCATAAACTTTATAACCCCTCTAAAATCAGTTCTTTGAGAAAGAGGTGAAGGAATGTGCACATTGCTTTTACTTCTTTGTCCTAAGTGAGTTCAGAGTATTTGGCTGGGCTTGTTATTTGCAATTTAGACATGTGTCCAGTGTAATGACTCCAGTACCACAAAATGGCAGAATGAGCTATGGAACTTCTTTTTTTTTTTTTTTTTTTTTTTGGACTGGGAGAGAGCTAAGATGAAGGTAATAAAGCACATTGTAAATTGTTCATGTAATGTATTTTTCTTTCAGAATGCCTAAATCAAAGGAACTTGTTTCTTCAAGCTCTTCAGGCAGTGATTCTGACAGTGAAGTTGAGAAAAAGGTAAGCTTTACTGTACCAAATTTGTAGTGCATGAATTCCTCTATAATGCTGGCATCCAGTTTTGAAGTGAAAGGCAGTCTTTTTAGGTAGGTTTTACTATGTATCCTTGACTACCTCCAACCACCTCAGATTCCCCTGAGGGCTGGGATTGTGCTCCAATGCTAGGTTCAGAATAGAAGAGAGAGAATTATAAGGGTAGATAGATGGCAAATGGACTGCCTGAGTGGAGTATGAGCTTCTAAACTTATCCATAAGAGGTTGTCTTTGTGTTGTACTTGGTTCAGCCTGGGGTCCTAGTGCATCCCAGGCAAGTGCTCACACCTGAGCTATGCCACTAGCCCTCTTTTTACTTTTGATTTTTGACAGGGTGTCACCAAGTTGTCCGGGCTGACCTTATACTCTTAACCAGATGCTTTAGCCTCATGAGTAGCTGTGAGTATAGGCCCTGTTCAGACTAAACAGGTCCTCTATTAAGCATCTCTGGTAACCTAAAGTCATAGAAATGCTTCCTTAGACTCTAGAACAGTATAGTCTAACTAGGCCCAAGATGCTGCTTCCAATTATTTAGAAATCTCTGTGCTTAGTCTAGGCTGCTAAGGTGCCTCAGTGGTAAAGGCCCTTGCCACCAAACCTGACAACCTGAGTTTGTTCCTGTTCTTCCGCATGGTAGAAGAAGAGAACCAACTATACCAGATTTGCCCTCTGACCTCATTCATGCGCCACATAGAAGCGTCACAAGTACTACACACACAAAATAATAGTAATATGAAATTTCCCCAAATCTGCCTGATCTGTAGGTAATAAGTCACTATTGGGCTGCACAACTGAAGTTTTGAATGAAAACACTAATTTTGATGGCTTTCTCAGTCATTGCTGGCCTCCTCCATTACTGAATTTTAGTTTTGGTACATTGTAAGTTTGAAAGTTATTTGCTTTTAGTAAATAAAGTCATCCAGCAAACCAAACACAAAATTATCCATTTTGCTAGAATAAGCTTTTTCTGTGTTAGGTGACAACTGTTTTGTCAACCTCATTCCACTTAATTGGTCACATCAGTGAAGTGTAACGGAGCAACCCATCTTGTGGTCAAGACTTCCTTCCACACAGCTGTCTCTTGATAGAAATTTATATCCTAGAAATTGAACAAATTGCATTTACCCTTATTTGTTTACTTGTTTTGTGGAAAATAAGTAGTTAGTAGACGTGTGGTTTGCAGCTGTTTACAAGCAGCAGGCAGGGCTGATGATGTAGTTCAGTTGGTAGAGTGCTGACTCGGTACTCAGGAAGCCCTAGGTTTGATCCCCAGTACAGCAGAGGTGGAAGCAGGAGATCAAGCTCAAGGTCACCTGGGGTGCTGGGGGTTCCTGGGAGCCTTGTTTTATGGGTTTTTTTTAAAGCAACAACCCCCCCCCCCTTTTCCTTTCTTTCCTTCTTTTTTTGTTTTTTGTTTTTTCAAGACAGCATTTCTCTGTGTAGCTTTTTGGAGCCTGCCCTGGCACTCTCTACATTTAGGCTTGTCTCAAACTCACAGCTCCATCTGCCTCTGCACACCCCAGCCCCCCCAAAAAAGTACTGGGATTAAAGGCATGGGCCCTCGTTGCCTGACCTCTTTTTCTTTTCTTTTCTTTCTTTCTTTCTTTTTTTTTCTTTCTTTGTACTAACAAAAGGGAACTCTTTAGGGAAATTTGGGGAAGTTGGAGCTATGTAAAGATAGAATATAGTATCATTTAAAAGTTAAAATGAGGCTTTTAAAATTTTTTTAAATTTGTATCAGTCTAACATCTAGGTATGTCTATGTAACTAATTTATATTGAAGCTATTTGCTGAGCACGCACTAGTCCACAGAATTGCCTTCTGCTTGCTGAGCTGGTTTTTGTGGTTTCTCATAGGTACTGTTAATCCTGTAAGCATTTACATTAAATGCATCCATGTTTTCCATTTCATAGCTTACTTACGTGTATCCTTAGCCTATCAGATTTAATACAGTAAACTTAGTAGCATTAAAATAGTAGTCTGTACATGTCCACTAAGAAGGAACATGTCTGCCCTCTACTGTTGGGGCTGGAACTAATGTGGTATGTGTGTGTGTGTGTTTTTTTTTTTTTTTTAAGTGTTAGCTCATTTTAAGAATGAGGATATATAAAATGTTTTTATACTAGTGCTGCTTCTAAAATATTTTAAGGTTGAGTGCTAGTCTTAACATATTACTGTTTATCTTCAGTATTCTTTTTGCAGAAGTTTTTGAGTTGCTGATTTTCAGTGCCTGTTATAAAATAATTTCCCTTTTGTACGTGTTGTGTCGTTTCCCCCCCCCCCCCCAAAAAAAAACATGGTCTCCTTACTTACGTAGTCCTGGTGGCCTGGAGCTTGCTATGTAGACTAGACTGGAAGTATATGTCCTTGAAAACAGTTCAAATTCCTTTTGGAATAGACAAGGAGTTTATAAATATTCATATCTTAGTCATAGACATGTTTTTGTTTTTTGAGACAGTCACTGTGTATAGCCTAGGCTGTCTTTGACCTTCAGTTTTCCCTCCTCAGTCTTAGTTAGGGTTACAGGGAGGACCTGTACTGCTTTTCTTTTTGTTTGTTTGTTTTTTTAAAGGAAAGCTTTTGGTAGGTTTGTGGTTTCTAAGTATTGTATGGATTGTGGTTCTCAAAAATCACTGTCCTAATATCTGAAGTATCTTTGGGGATTCTGAGAACAGAGTTTAGAAACAATAATTATTAGTTGTAAGTGCAGACTACATTCCTAATTAATTTTTTCATGTACATACTTTTAATGAATGAGGAAATTTTTTGGCTCTTTAACTCTTTAAAGGTAATGAAGTCTTTTGAACTTGACATGTGTATTCTTACCTTTTCTTTCAAGTTAAAAAGGAAAAAGCAAGTTGTTCCAGAAAAACCTGTGAAGAAGCAAAAGCCTGGTGAGACTTCTAGAGCTTTGGCATCTTCTAAGCAGAGTAGCAGCAGCAGAGATGATAACATGTTTCAGGTAAAGTTGGATTGCATTCAGACAAGTGGAAACAGTCTTGCTTGATCTGAAGAACACTAGAAATGTCTTGATCTGATAGCACATTACAGTCTGTGTTGTAATCCTCTTGACTAATGATGTTTATTTATATTTTGAAAAAGATTATATATTTATTTATTTGTATTTGAGTGCTCTGTTGACTTTTTGCCAGAAGAGGGCATCAGATCCCACTATAGATGATTGTGAGCCACCATGTGGTTGCTGGGAATTGCACTCTGGACCTTCTGGAAGTGCAGCCAGTGTTCTTAATCACTGAGCCATCTCTGCAGTCCCAGACTAATGATGTTTCTTAATGAGTAGAAAGTGAAGGTAAATAGTTCAATTCTGGGCTATTGGTAAAATCTAGAAGTCTTCAGTTTTGCTATATTTAAACAATGCAAATCTAAATGTTACACAAATCCAAAAGAAGATTTAGAGTTGTGCATGTGGGAAGCATGTTTGACTAGGTAGGTTTGAGTAATTGGCTGGAGAGTATAAATAAGTCTGATAGTATTTGAGAGAAATGGCCTAACTTAGGCATCATAAGAAACAGAAGGCTGGAGATACAGCTTAAATCTAAAGTGCTTGAGTAGCATGCTTGAGTATGAACATACATAAAGCAGCAAAAAGAAAAGGAGAGTGGGTTGGGAGATTTGAAAACAACAGGAAGAGGCCTAGGTTAGCATCTTGAGTTTTATGTGTTTTTGGCAACTCAGCATTTCCTTCAGTGTTTAAGAATGACTTGTAAGATGAAGCATTGTGAACAAATGAAGCTGTGAAATTGCTGAGGTAATTATAGGCTTTAATTTGTATTGCTAAGGAAGAGATAATGATGATTACAAAGACGGTAAGGAAGAGTGGACCAGAGGATAGAACCCATGAATGAAGAGTTAGATCACTTGAGGGTCTCCTGTAGCATATAGAAGTCTTGGCTGGGAATTACTCTTGTTGGATTCTGCATATGCTTGACTAAATAACCATCCACCAAAGAAAGCATAAAGAGAGGAGTAGATGGCTGTGAGTAGTTTTCAAATGGTTGATGAGCGAAGAAAGAGGATGTAAGTTGAGATAAAATGGTAAAAGAAAACAAAGTAGTAGAAGCAAAAAATAGGCAAAATGTAGGATTACTTTTACAGGTTTAAATCCTCTGACTTCTGTGTAATTTAGGGGCAAGGTATGTTAATTTGATAGTGAATGTAGGTGAAGGTATGTAATGAGGGATTAAAAGAAATGCTATTATTGTTTTGAATGGATAATAAATTGGATGCTTATTGTGTTCTGTATTTCATTCAGGTTTTGCCAGGTTCTGGTAAGCCACATGGAATGTGGTCTGTAACTTCATGGAATCTAAGGGGACCACAATTACACACACATGCATAGTACAAATTACAATAAAGCCTGAGAAGTAGTGGGCAGATTACTTGAGAGAGTGTGAGAAGCTCATTAGAAGAAGTGGCATCTGAATCTTAATAGTGATGGTCAAGCCAGCTATGTAAAGTGTGTGGACAGAGGAAGCATTTTCAAGAGCAGGAAATTTAATTAGGATCTTAGAGTGGGAAAGAGCTTGGGTTGTGTATGAATTAGAGAGCCTTTGTGGTGGAAGTCTGGAAAGTTTAACTGAATATGAGGAGTATTTGGTGAAGAGAAGGAAGGGCAGATCATAAGTTTTTCTTGAGTGGGGGTTGGGGGAGTGTTGGGAATTGTAGCACATTTGAAACTATTATACATCATCAAACATGGCCTGGAACTCACTATAAAGAATAGGCTGGACTTGAGTTTTTAGCAATCCTCTGCCTCCTCAAGTGCTGAGATTATAGACTTAGCTACCATATCCAGTTCATTTCTAACCTTCTAATTTGGTTTGGTCTTTTACACAGGATCTCATATTTAGGGTGGGGGAGAACTTGTTATTGTAGCTGAGTAAGGCTTTAAACTTGTGGTCATCCTGCTTCTCAACCTCCCACTATTGGGATCACAAGTGTGTGATACCACAGTTGGCTAGTCTCTAGATTTTTAGCTTTCCTTTTCTACTCTCTAAATTTTTTAAAGAAACCAGGACCACATTTCAAAGATTTGGTTTTGTTATATGGGGGGGGGGGTAATGAGTTTATTTTTAGGGGATGATTTTTTTTCCCTTTTTTTTTTTTTTTTTTGGTTTTTTGAGACAGGGTTTCTCTATTGTTTTGGAGGCTGTCCTGGAACTCGCTCTGTAGACCATGCTGGCCTCGAACTCACAGAGATCCACCTGCCTCTGCCTCCCGAGTGCTGGGATTAAAGGCGTGTGCCACCAATGCCCGGGTTGGGGGGTGATTTTCTTACTAAGGAAAAATCGTGTTGGTTAAGATTTATTTATTATGTATATAGTGTTCTGCCTGCATGTATGTCTGCATGCCAGAAGAGGGCGCTGGTTGCTGGGCATTGAACTTTGGACCTCTGGAAGGAGCAGCCAGTGTTCTTAACCTCTTAGCCATCTCTCCATTCCTGAATTGGTTCTTATATTCTCATATGGAAAGGTTCCTGTGAATCTTAGGGCTTAAGGCCATTCAACAGGTGATCTTACTTTCAAATTGGCTTTCAGAGAGTCATAGATTGCATAGTACTAAAGGAGACCTGCATTTTTATTAATAGTAATGGCTTGATCATTGCATTAGTAAGATAAAGGATGGGGTTTCTGAAAGAGAAAACAGTAAGCCCACTTTTTTTGGTTTTTATTTCTTTAAATGACTGTTTGATTTCTATATTCTTCATTTTTATCAAGAACGTACACATGCCCACACAGGCAAGTAATTATTAAAGATTGCTTCCTAACGCTGGGTTGTATAATAAAATGTCACTTCATATGATTTTTTTTTTCGAGACAGGGTTTTCTCTGTGACTTTGGAGGCTGTCCTGGAACTCGCTCTGTAGACCAGGCTGGTCTTGAACTCACAAAGATCTTGCTTCTGCCTCCCAAGTGCTGGGATTAAAGGCATGCACCACCACCACCTAGCTTATACGATTATTTTGTAATTTGTTTTTCCATTATCTTGGGGTGGACATTGCTTTTTTTTTTTTTTTTTTTTTTTTGAGTTTTGGGCTACTACGAATAAAGGTTTGGTGAATATTCTTAGTACAAGTCTCCTCCTATAATGGAGTTTTGCTTTGTTGTACATCTGTTGTGAATTGTGTAATTAAGGACGTGGATGTACAAATATCTTTTGGGAGACCCTACTGCCAGTTTTTCTGGATGTATGGTTATGTGCTTCCTCAAGTTTCAGTCTGATAGAGCACATGTACAGTGAGGGTACTATAGGATTGGTACCATAGTGCATAAGCGGTCTCACTAAGTACATATTGATGTTCACACATGAGCCTCTTCTGAGTATGCATTCCTCAGAATATATCCAGTCTGTAAATAGTACACGAGAGCTATATACCCTAAAGTGGGATTATTGGAACATGTCATATTCTATTTTTGTCAAAGGACACCCATTCTATTTACTTTAGCAATTGTGTTATTAGTAATATTCATAAATTTAAAAGTGTCGCTGAAGGGAGAGAGATAGGCAGTAAGTAGTGCTTGTTGTGCAAACATGAGGATCTGAGTTTGAATCCCCAGCACCCTCATTAGGTAGTTGAATTTGGTTGCAGATTACCTATACTCCCAGCACTGAGGGGCTGAGACAAATCCTCTGTGGCCAGCCAACTAGCCTTTACAGTGAGCTTCTAGTTTAGTGAGAGACCCTCTCAAGGCAAGGCAAAGAGTGAGTAATGACACCTGAAGTCATTTTCTGGACGTCATGTGGACTCGTGCTTGTTATCCTCCCATGTCTTTTGTTTTTTGAGACAGGGTTTCTCTGTGTAGCTTTGTAGACCAGGCTGGCCTCGAACTCAAGTAGATCTGCCTGCCTCTGCCTCTGCCTACTGAGCGTTGGGATTAAAGGTGTGTGCCACTACCGCCTGGCTTCCTTATGTCTTTTTTTTTTTAAGCATTGATTTTCCCTTGGTTATAGTTCAGTACTTATTTTTAGGATTATTAGTCTGCAACAAGTTGCAAACAGCTCTCTTTATGAGTTTCTTTTCCCCCTTTGCTAGATTGGGAAGATGAGATATGTTAGTGTTCGGGACTTTAAAGGAAAAATTCTAATTGATATTAGAGAATATTGGATGGACTCAGAAGGTGAAATGAAACCAGGGAGAAAAGGTAAGGCTCCTTTTTTTTCCAATTTGATGTTAATGTTGACTGCATACCTTCCTTAAATGATTGCAGGGTGTGTACAGGTCAAGAATTGGCCTTACTTAGTTGATTCTCTTACAATCAACTTTTTTTTTTTTTTTTTTTTTTGATTTTACAAGACAGGGTTTCTCTGTATTGTTTTGGAGGCTGTCGGTCCAGCCCGGCCTCGAACTCACAGAGATCCGCCTGCGTCTGCCTCCCGAGTGCTGGGATTAAAGGCATGTGCCACCACTGCACGGCCTACAATCAACTTTTAATGAAACCTAGGAAAACAACATCCTAATGTCAAATTGATTGCTACCTTATTTTAACTTTCTTTTTGATTTTTACATCAGATTAGTTATTACTGGGGAAATTGTAAAATGAGAAACAGAAAAATTCTGGATTTAGTGTTTCATTTGGATTTAGCTCCAACAGGTGTTCTTTAGGACAGAATCCTTCAAGTGGGTCTCTGTCCCCTTACTGTTGGTGCTTTATCCAGTCCCAAGCCTCTTAGCATGTAGAAACATTTTGTTCTGTCACCAAGTAGCTAGAAAAAGAAAACTTGTATCATACAGAAGTAAAAGGATACCAATTGGGAAGAGGCACAGTAGGAAAGGGGTACTAAAGAGGGGAGTGGAAGGTGAACATAACCAAAATACACTAGAAATGTGTACAAAAAGGTCATGGTGAAATTGTTTTTGCATATGATTATGCTAATAAAAGATTAACCACTGCACAACCTAAATTTGTGTAGTTATATACTCTAGGTTGATCTTGGGCCAGTAAGGTAAAGGCACTCACTGCCAAGCCTGATGATCCCTAGGGCCCAAGAGGTGGAAGGAGAGAATGGATACTATCTACACCGTTGTAAGCTCTGTGGCTCAGGTGGGTGCACATATCTATACATGTGCACATCCATTAATTAAATGACAGATTTTTAATAAAAGGAAAATAATGTTTCCTTCTCTAATACTATTGTGCCTGTTGTTAAAGGTGGCACTTATTTCACACAATTTTGGAGCTTGTCTTAAAAGCTTCCTTTTTATGTTTGCTGTTTAGTTCTTGTCTGAGTTTTCATTCAGGATTTTCGAGGGTAGCTAATGCCAGATTTTGTTCTTGCAAACATTTACTGAAGGAATTCAGTTAGCCTCAAAGCCTTTTCTTCATGCTGCTTTTTATTGTATTCTCCTTTGCAGTTTCATGGTCCCTCAGCAGTTTTCTGAAAAATATGTGTTTGATGTTATATGCTAATAAGCTAAAGTTTCCCATATTACCCAATTTAATATAATCACCCTTTGATGTGTCTCAATTACTGATTAAGAAACAGCCTAGAAAATGCAGCTAGTGAAGGTGAGCCAGGACTTTGCTCCTGATAGCATGAATCCAGAGTGTGCTCATGCCTCTATCTGAATTGTGCATTCTGCCATGCTTCTTATGAGCCACTCTCTAGGGAGTTATCTAAAGTAGAATGCATGCTTATGGAAGAACTCAGCACAGAGCTGTACATCTTGAATTTTGGTGGAAATAATGTAATAAATGTTGGAAGTGACAGGATGTAATACTGGCAGTGTCTTATGCCAAATGTAGGTCCTGACTGTTAACCTGCATGTATATATGTGAAAAGTCTTCAAATTATCATTAGTTCACAGTGCATTATGCAGATGCACTGTTGGAAGTTAAACTGGATGCAGACTTGAACCTGGGATTAACAAATTTAAATTTTAATATCTCAATATAGATCTCTCACAAGACCTCAATATTCTAGTATTGGGCTATTCAAAATGGCAGTTTTGGGGCTGGTGAAGTAGCTTAGTAATTGAGGGTGTATGTGGCATGTGTCAGGTCTGGATTCTGTCCTCAACACTAGAAAGTCCACATGAGTAAAATGGTACTTTTGATAAAATACTTGGGAATATTAAAATTCCCAAGGCAGCTTGATTTTCACTTGTATTTCTTAACCTTTATGTTTAGGTATTTCTTTAAACATGGAGCAGTGGAGCCAGCTGAAGGAACAGATCTCTGACATAGATGATGCAGTAAGGAAGCTGTAAAATCTGAGCCATATCAAACCTGTACTGTTGTAGTTGTTTTAATCTGTCTTTTTACATTGGCTTTTGTTTTCTAAATGTTGTTTTCCAAGCTGTTGTATATCTGGATTGCAGAACAATTTGTGAGGTGAATACTTTTTTTTGTAATGTGCATTATTAAAATGTTCTGAGTGAAGCTAAATGTCAACTTTATTAAAGAGGATTGCTTTGTGTCCCTTACCTAGTGTAAAATAAAGTCATTACAATCTTAAATGTTGTAGCTTTTTTTGATCAAAAGACTAGTTTACTGTTTAAGGCCAAAAGAACAACCATTATAGGCATATAATTGACTATGTTTAGAAGGATTTGTATTGCATTGAGCTTCTTAGAGGATTGCTTTATGAAATGCTTCCTCAAATCTCTTCCTTTCTAAGCAAATTTGTTGAATTTTCCTCTCCAGCAATGCTTTACTGTTTTCTTCAGTTTCACTTGAGTTCATGTTCCATTTTTACATCACCCTTTACTTGGATATATTATGATGGTTTGGAAAGTCAAACTGTCACTGTTATTGCCTCTTAAATCTACTGTGTTAAATATTAGCAGATAGTTGTTTGGTAACATGGCTTGTATGAGAGCTCTAAGCAAGTGTATGTCATTACTCATAGCACTGTGTAGGTGTTATTTAGTCTACAGAACATAGTGATTTTGATGTCTGATGAGCTTTCACTTAGTAAACATTCACACTGGGATGATGTCTATAAAGTCAGATATTAAACTAGATTAGACATTAGTTAAAAATTGTGAAACTTACTGGCTTACTATTACATTCTAATAATGAGTGGATTATATGTAGACATGTCACTGACCTTTATTGTCATTGTAGTTTATGTGGACAGTTGTTAAGACTTGGCTGTTTTAATCTGGACAAGAGACTTCTTAGACTTCATGCTAAGTTTGATAGACACTGTTTGTTAGTTTTCATTTTAACCACAATGATAGACAGGCACAGATTTCAGGGCTGTTGCCCCAGTGAATAGGGCAGTGTTCCTTAGGGAAAGAGTGCCTACAAAGAAACTCACCACACTGAAGGGACCTGGCTTGTGATGAGAACGGAATTTTCTTGAAACTAAATGGTGTTTACATGATATTTTGGTGACAACAATATGACAGTGGTAGGTAGAATACTAAGTAACAAGGATGCTTTAAAGACATTTAAATACTAACTGCTATTAAGGGGGCTGCCATGTCAGAATTGCATTATTGTATAACCACGTTTGGTTCCATTGTCTAAACATTTTATAGAATTGTCAAGGATTTAATTTAAAAATCCATCTGCCAGGCCTCATTAACCTGCCCTCCCACAGATATTCTTTAGGTTACTTTCATGGATTGCAAATTGATAAAGAAATCTCACTTATTTTGCCTTGATAGGTACCAAAGTGTTCAAGAAATTATTATATACCTTATTCTTGAGGGATACTCTCCTTATTTGGGACATAACATGTGTTGTATTTCATTAACATAATTCGTTTTGTAAAGTGTTATTTTGCCATTTAGAGAAAGGGCAGTTAGAACATAAAACTTCAGTTTTAGTAGATGAAGAGGGAATAATAGTTAAAATTGAATTCAGCGGTGTGTATGCGTTTCAACCATCTCCTTTGGAGAGATGTTGCTGTCATCTGTTACCTAGGCATTACTAGCTGCTTAGCATAATAAAATCTATACGTGGAAAGCTTTCTTTGGCATAATTTGTTAGGGTGATAACTAAATTCACTCACTAATATCACAGACTAGGTAGTATACCAAAGTTATTAAACTTTTTCTTTATGCCTGTAGAAAAGGAGAATTAGGTTAAAAGAGTAAACTAACTCAGTCTGAACAGGAACAGTCCATCAACACTCTTATCTCCTCAGCAAGTGTCTTAGTTCCTTTTTTGTTGCTATGACAAAGGTCCCTGACAATGTAGTACAAGGGAGAAAGGGATGATTCCTACTCACTGTTCAGGCTACAGTCCATTTTTGCAACCAGTCACAATGGCAGAAACTTCAAACATCTAGACATCTTGCATCCTAGTCAGGAAGCTGAGAGCCGGGAATGCATGCTCAGTCAGTTCCCTCTCTTCATTTAGTCTTTGACTTAGCCATGAACTGGTGCCATCCACAGTGGGCAGGTCTTTCCATCTCAAAGGAATCAAGATAATGCTCTAGATATACCTAGAGGCCCAACTTCCATATAATTCTAGATTCTGTTAAGTTGGCAATTAATACTAGCCATCACGATAAGATTTCTCCAGGAAGGAGGCTTGATATTTTCAGGCGTAAGTAACTCATTTACTTTGCTGAAATAGTATCTGTTGCAGGTTTTACCCTTTAATATGATCAGTAGCAAGGCTTCCATGGGTTTTCCTCTTTGTTTTTAGAGTAAAAGCAGCCTTCGACCAATTTTCTAGTGCCCATGGCATTTCATTTAAACAAATCACTTATAAAAACTATATTTTGTTTTGTTTTGCTTCACAAATGCTAAAAACTTGGGAAGTATACTACCTCATTACCTAGTCAAGATTCTGTGATAACCAATCTATTCTGCATAGTATCTTAGAGATGGCAACTTAGAGAAAATCGTGGAGGAAAATGCATCCTGGCCTGGCTAGAGGGAAGAGAAGGGACTGAAAGTTTATGTAAGTTGTTCCTGACAGAAATGTTAGCACAGTGCTTGCCATAAAGGCTTGAAAATCTTAAGAACTATTGAATTATATTTAGGTATCTCTTCTGGAATTCTTTGTGGTTCACTTTTTATGGAAATTAAGGTAGTGAAACACTAAAAATTTTTAAGAAAGGCATTTTTCCAGATAAACTGTAGTGTAAAACATGCATATAGTGAGAAGTATGTAATTCTATAATTGTGAATGTCTGTATGCTTTGTTTGATACATCCTCCATGGAGGTGTCAATGAACCTAATATTCCCTGTGAATATTTTAAATGTTGAAATAAAAACAAGAAATATACCCTTTGTGTTATCCCGTTTTCACACACCTGAAGACAGATGGGTAATTTTATCTGGTGAATGGGTTTTAGTAGCAAATAACCTTTCTCTGAATGGTCTAGAATCTGTGTTCTCAGAATATTAAATATGAAGGTCTCTGGGACTTGGTGTAGGCCTATTTTTTCTACCCACTTGAAAAAAAATACAAATGCCCAGGTATACAGAGAGCATCAAGTTGTTCCTCTGCAAATGCTTTGTTTGTAGTCCAATGCCTTGGGTTATGTCTCATAGTCACTGTTCTATTGCTGCTTGCTGCAAAGGAACATCATGACCAAGGAAACTTTTATATAAGAAGGCATTTAAGCCGGGTGTTGGTGGCGCACGCCTTTAATCCCAGCACTCGGGAGGCAGAGGCAGGCAGATCTCTGTGAGTTTGAGGCCAGCCTGGTCTACAGAGCGAGTTCCAGGACAGCCTCCAAAACAATAAAGAGAAACCCTGTCTCAGGGGAAAAATGGCATTTAAATGAGGCTTGCTTACAATTGCAGAAGTTTAGTCCATCATCTGTGTGGCAGGGAACATGGTGGCACACAGCCAGACATAGTGCTGGAAAAGTAACGGAGTGTTCTGCTTCCAGATCTGCCAACAGCAGAAGAAAAGATTGAAATCCTCAACAGTGCCATACCTAACCCTTCTCAAGTAGTGCCACTGACTGATGACCAGGTGTTCAAATATGATCCTGTGGGAGTCATTCTCATTCAAACCACCACAGTGTACTTGTATTTTCATTGATAAAATCTCTTATCCTTTTTAAGTTGTATTTTGCAGTTATATACAGAGCTCATTTGCATTTCTGTTTAAGGACTTGCATAGGAATAGACTCATGGAGAACAACCTTAGGGCTTAGTAAACATGGACTTAAATGTCTAGTCAGAAGGAAAAATAAGTAGTACTTGAAATTTCTGTAGTATAGGTCAAAGAACTTAATAGGATAAAAGGATTTTACAAACATGGATTACATTAGGTTATGTGCTACGTAACAGTCTATTGATGTCCATTTGGGTAAATACCTTACCACACAGGTCTTTACCTACTCCTCTTGCTTTACATATGTTCCCCAGAGTTCATACTCTCATCAGTTACTCTTCCATTCATTTTAGTCTTGGATTAATAATGACCTGACCCTGCTTGTGGCTCCTTAGAGTTGTTTGCAGGTTAGGGTTCAGGTTATTTCCTCTAACAGTTAAAGAATTAAGAGGCACAAAACAAGTCTGATTCAAGAACAAAGTTTTATTGGCAAGTAGTGTAGACTTGAGGTTGGGAAGAGCTGAAAAACCACTGACTATAAGGGCTCGGTTTTTATTGGTTGAAAGTACCTACTCCTGGTGACTCCTTTCCCCTCCTCCATTGGCCCTGTGGTGTTCATGTGCCCTTTCTGGCATGGAACTGGGTTCCACATTGCTGACGGTCCTCCAATTTTGTACATGAGCATGGAAACAGCTGCAAAAGGATCCTATTTCTCAGGGCACAGGTACAAAGACTCATTAGTTGGGGTCCCCAATCTCCCTTTATAGTATACTGGGGAGGGAGACATTTACTGCAGGTGAAGGGAAATGACCTATTTTCCTTATTTATTGACTTGCCCTATCTTCAGGGCCCCTATCTTCAGGGCCCCTGTCTTCAGGTGATTTCTTTCCTGGATAACTTATAATTAGGTGATGATATACAGCACTTCCTTTTTGATTCTGACAAAAATGCACTTAACTCTGATTTTCAATAAAGTGGATACAATAACCTTTCTTGTTTCAGAAAAAGTGGACCAAGCGCTTCTGCCATCAAAACCTAGAATGCATCTGAAATTGTGTGTAGTGGCTTTAGTGTGTCCTGGAAGTGTCTTAGGGTTTCTTTTGCTGTAAAGAGATACCATGACCACATCAACTCTTTATTTTTTTTATTCTTTTTACACATGGTTTCTCTGTGTAACAACAGTCCTGGCTGTCCTCGAACTCACTGAGATCCACCTGCCTCTGCCTCCCAAGAGCTGGAATTAAAGGTGTGCGCCTCCATCACCCATCTTCCCCTCAATTACAAACCCATAATTAGTATAGCTCTGCCCTCATCGGAGAAATTTCTTTATACTGTGGATATTAGTAAATGCAGAAACTCAACTGATCGATACAGAGAGTGTGGAGTGCTTAGCCATAAATGACTGGGAGCATGGTGACATGCAGGCAGATGTGCTGGAGCTGAGAGTGCTACATCTTGCAGGCAACAGGAAGTTGAACACTGAAGGAAACTTGAACGGGCCCTCAAAGCCCACCCCCACAATGACAAACTTCCTCCCAAAAGACCATACCTCATAATAGTGCCACTCCCTTTGGGGGCCATTTTCTTTCAGACCACCACAGCTAGGAGATTACAGGTTTAATTATACTGTTGAAGTTGGATTCAGCTTTTTGGCCAGGTTTTGTTTTTGCTTTCTGTTGCTGTGTTTAAATACCCTGATACAAACAACTTAAGGGAGAAAGGCTTCTATTCTTTGGGCTTAGAGTTTGAGTCCATCACGGTGGGGAAGGAAAGGCATGGCACCAGGGAGGGAAGGGGTGTGGGCAGGAGTGGCTGCCTGGTTGATGACGTTGCATCCAAGGCCAAGAAGCAGGGCAAGAGCAGCAAGTGGGGCTAAATAATGGGAAGGGGGGTTTGTGCGGAGGGGGGGTGTGGGGCAGAAGAGGGAGTTGGGGGAGGCATAACTAAGGATGTTTCAGAAAATCATTTGCAAATATTGCTTCCTAAATATTCAAACACATGAGTTTTATTGGAGCTACACTACACATGTTGACAAAAGGTTCAGTGACAAGTATGGGATGCCTCCCCTTGAGTCAGAGGTGTCCCAGAGATGTTCCCTGCCCCCTACCCCAAAAGATATCCCCTGTTGTTTTTGGTTGCTTATCAGAACTTGATGGTAAGGCTACATTGCTGAAGACATTACATGCTTTAGTAGCTAGATGGGGGGAAATCAAGTTTGTATTAACCAGAAAGTCTTTTCCCTGCTAGCCAGCTTCATAGTACCAGAAAGAGCAGTGTTTCTGGGGGAAAAAGGTCAACAGTTCTACTCAACTGTGAACTCTGGGAGCTACAATAGTGACTAGTGTGCCAAGATAATGGCCATGGGTACAGTAGTGACACATGTTACAGTGGTAATCACTTGCTTCCTGATTGGAGTTAAGGCCCAGTCCACAGGTGGAAACATACCTGGTTCTGTAAATCTGGCCAAGCACTAATGACTAGGAAGTTCATAGCCCCAGAAGTGGATGTGATTTTGCAAAAGGGTCATATTATCAAATTGCCCTCTAAATTTGCTTTTCCAAACCCATAATTAGTATAGCTCTGCCCTCATCGGAGAAATTTCTTTATACTGTGGATATTAGTAAATGCAGAAACTCAACTGATCGATACAGAGAGTGTGGAGTGCTTAGCCATAAATGGAACATCAATATAACAACTTCCTTCCCCCAAGGCTCAGGGATCATCTTGGAAGAGGAGGCAGAAAGACTGTAAGAGCTAGAGGTTAGGGAAGACCATTGTGAAACCATCTTGTGGTCTGGATGGGACCATCACACTCAGGAACTCAGCAGCTGTGGTTGCCTGCAGTAGATTGAGCCTGTCAGCATCCCAGCACAGAATGAGAAGGGCCTCATCAGCTTTCATCCAGTAGCCGGGGAGTAGTTCTTGGTTTCTGGGAGAGGGAAAGGCAGGTTTCTTTGAGGGTGTAACCTCTGCTAAGTCAACCGTGCACCCATGGGTGGCTTGACATCCATAAATAATCAGGTCAGCACAAACTGGACTAGGCGGGCTACAAAATACATGAAAACAGGAAGTTAGGAGTAAGGGTAGATCTGGGAGGAGTTAGGGTGATATATTGTATGCAAGTATGAAATAATAAAAACATTAAAAATGAAAAACCTCAAAGCTCTTCCCTAGTGACATAGGCAGGCTCCATAACCTCCCCCAGCTATTATTAAGTGTTTAAACGTAACCTTACGGGAGGCATTTCATATTCAAACCACAACAGCTTTATTTTCCAACACTACACATAGGTAACATGTAATGGTGCAAGAATGGTAAGGTAACAATCAATAGCCCTTGACTCAGACACTCAAATTTTGTCTTATTTTCCACAATGCCTTCTAGCAAAAGCTTCCAATCTACGATCAGGGATCATTCGATTATGGCTTTTGATTTAGCAGTTCTGAAGCTTTCCCCTGACGTTTTCAACTGTCATTTCTGAGATCCCTTGACATGAAGACCACTGGGGCTGGTGACAGGTGGGGTGGTGGAGGTAGCTGAATGAGGAAGAAGGACCATGGTTGGATAAGTAGGCTGTGAAGTTCCGTGTGGGACACAAGAGTGCGGGACCAGGTGGACACCTGGGAAGGTGAGTGCGCATTGCCTTCTTTTTGTCACGGGCTTGAATTGAGGCAGCTCTTGTATGTCTCTCCCCTTTGTGTTTTCCGGGGGTAACTCTGAAGTGCCACCTGAAACATGTTCGTATACCCCGGGGTCTAGCATACCTCCTGGTGTTTAAGTTCAAAGGCTAATCCATTAAAAAACAATTTTGGAAGCCCTAAGGCTTTCTTCAGAGCTCTCAGTAACAAAGGTTTTTGTATCCAGTCATCCGTGACCTCAGTCATGTCTTACCTGTGACTCATTCCTGCTGCTTTGAATATGAGAAATGGCTTCTTGCTCATTCTCTAGCCACTGATTACTAGGCCCAGGAGGCTCTTGGAAACGCTTGGTAGTTTCAGCACATTTGAGCCCTTTACAGCCTTTTTTTGAAGTAGCAGCTACTTTCATCAGAAAAGCACCTTGGGAAGGCTGATGAACATACACACTAAAGCATGTAAAATTGCAGCCAAGACTGGGTAACTAATTTGTTTTTATTGTTATGTATTTATCTTTTGAGATGGGGTCTTATCATGTTACCCTAGCTGACCTGGAATTCACTATGTAGACCAGGTGGAATG